AGCTTGAAAGAGAAGTGCCTTGATCCCCTGACTAAAGAACCAATGATATGTATGTATGCATATGATAATGAAGCATAAGCCAAATAAAATTGAAATGAAGAGGGTAAATTTTGGGGTACAACAACAAGGACGAAAGTGGGGAACTGTGAAGACAATTCCTCCTGTCTCTTTTTCATATTGTTTTACTTGCTTATCTTTAATCAATCAAATTGCCAAATAGCGTTGCATAATTGATTGATTCGTAGGAATTTTTCGGGACTATTTTTGTTTTGAATTAAGTGTTTATATTGCTTATAATCACTTTTGATTATGAGTGCTTTTTGTATCAACACAACTTAAAGGAAAATTCTGAAAATTCAACTACACACCAAGTGTTCGACAAATTGTTTTGTTAGTTCTTTTGATAATTTCCATTGGAAATAACATTGCTAGTAACTTGCTATAAGCGATTGATAATGTGTTACTTGATTGAAGTATACTTAATTCTGATTATTGTATTCATTATATATTCAATTTTATATTTTCATATCGGAGTTCCAATAACACGGTTCGTATAGACGACATATTTTGAAAACCTTCCGCTTGCACTATTTTCTAATCAAATTTTTAAAACTAGATTTTTATCTTGGTGATCTATTCACACCCCCCCCTCTCTAAATAAGGCGTCATCGTCTAACATCAAGTTTTTGGGTATCTGTTTGAGCTGTATTATTGGTTGCTTAGGGAAAGGCATGGGGTCAGAAGTAAGGGAAAGGCATGGGGCCAGGAGTAAGTGTGGGGAATTATCTTAGGATATCATCTACATATGGGTGATAAAGCTCATCCTTGTCCTCTTCAAGCATAGTTATCAATGTCGAATGTCCACCCAAATCTACATTTAGTGGTGCTTCTGAAGACAGTTTTTACGCACTCATCGACGACGTTAATAAAATAACATGTGTAATTAATAACATGACTTTTCAATAATTGAAACAATATGAACTAAATTTTCTCACCACCTACCTCGAAAGTAAGCTTACCTCTCTTCATGTCTATGATAGCTCCTGATGTAGCCAAGAAATGTTTATCTAAGATGATCAGGACGTGAGAATCCTCCTTAATATCTATCATTACAAAATCAGTAGGGATATATAACTGGCTGATTCTTACTGGAATATATTCCAGTGTTCCTTCCGGGTATACAATTGATCGATAAGCCAACTGAAAATACATCCTTATTGGTTTTAGCTCACCTAGATTTAGCCTCTCTTAAATGGAGAGAGGCATGATGCTAACACTAGCTGCTAGATCTCATCGGGCTTTGCCATGACGTACTTGCCAATGACATGGGGAATGGAGAAACTCCATGGATCCTTTAATTTTTGTGGCATCTTATTTTTATAATGGTATTACACTCTTCAATGAGTGTCATTATAGTGTCGTCATGGAGTTTACTCTTATTGGTTAAGATCTCCTTGAGGAATTTATCATACAAAGGCATTTGAGTAATTGCCTCCGAGAAAGGGACACATATATGAAGTTGCTTCAGAAGCTCCACAAACTTCTTGAATTGTATCTCTATCTTAAACTTTGCAAGTCTCTGAGGGTACATGATTAGGAGTTTATACGGATGCGGGGGCACATAGGGTTGTTCATTTTCCACCTCACTGGATTTTGAAGTCTATCCATCATCTACTATTGTCGGTTATTTCTCATGGCTATGGTCAATTACTATCTCATGGTATTTCTCTACGATCCTACCCATATTCTAGTTCTTAACTCTCTTGTCCATATGGTTGTCCAATTCTAATATGCTTCACAATGTTATAGCATTAGCATGCCCTTTGGGGTTGGTTGGCCAAGGAATATCCCATATGGGGCGGAAGTAGCTTCCAGTTGCTGAGCCACTTAAGAAATTTGGGTTTTCGATAATTTGTTATGTATGGCCATAAAATCTACTTTGTTTGCCATTTGTTTAATCAACTCATTCATGTGAATGTTTTCATTCATGAATTCCTTATTTTGTTGGGCTTGGGACAAGATGAAGTTTCTGTCATTAGTTCCAGATTAGTTTTCTTGGGGGAAGCAGGAGCAGCAAGGGCTACTTTATTATTCTAGAAATCGGGTGGGGTGGTGGGTGCAGGACTAGGTATGAATAGAGTGCTGTTATTATTTTTATAGGAGAAACTCATATGATTTCTCCATCCAGTGTTATATGTGTTTGAATAGGGATTTCCTTGCACATAATTAACCTAGTCTGAGCTAGGCTCGATTAATAATTGATAGTCAGTAGTGACATTTCTATGGACTCTACAAATCTCACAGTTATGAGTCAGTGCAACTACGGTAGCTGGAGGGGTAATGGTCATGCTATCGATCTTCTAGGTAAGTGTGTCTACTTCCGCGTTCATGTGCTCTACGAGATAATATGCTTCATTGATAAGTGTGGATTATTAACAACTTTTCTAGACCGTGATGTGGACAAAGCCTCATCATGTCCTTGTATCTCTCCTGCGCCACAAAAAGTGACTCACCGTCAGTCTATCACAACCGCTGTTTTACTGGGTGGGAATACCTTGACAAGAACACCATTTTTAGCTCAATCCATGTTGTTATGGAATTTTGTGGTAGGGACTGTAGCCAAGCTCGGGCTCGATCCCTCAGGGAGAAGCGAAATAGGGGCAATAGAACGACATCGGGGTCTACGTTATTCTTTAACGTTTCAGCGTAATGCATGAACACCGAGAGGTGCAAGTTTAGGTCCTCTATAGGGTTACCTGAGAATTGATTATGCATCACAATTTACAGCAGAGAGGGTTTTAACTCAAAGTTGTTAGCCTTGGTTCAAGGATTAACAATGCTTGAATGGGGCTTGTCTTGAGATGGGAAAAAAGTTCTTAATAGGACGAACATCCGTTTTAGCGATTATTGGGATATTATAATGAGCATGAAGTTTGTCTGTTTGGCGTCTAAGGTGGTAAAAAAGCTCAATTTTGTTTAACAGTTGCGCTAATTCATCCCCAGAGTTAAGGGTACTTGACATACAACCAATACAAGGGGAAGTAAAATCAAATTATTTAGTCTAAATGGTGTAACAAAGTATGATATTGATGAGATTGGTCCCGACAACGACGCCAAAAACTTGATAGGTTCGCAAGTGCATGAAAATATCGATTCATATAAAGTATTATCAATCCCACAAAGACCAATCGACAAGTACCTTTCTCTAGTAATTACTATGTTGAGCTAAGGCGATGAGATTATATTCGGATGACAAAAAAACGAAAGAAATTGGTTTTGAATTAATTATGAAACGAGAGAACAAAATGTAGTTCTCGTCGACCATTAGCGCTCCTAAAGTCGTTACGAGAGAATTAATTTTTAAGGTATTGTTTTCTTTCACGTGACCGGTACCGAATTTTACCTACATAATTTAAATGTCCACTTTCACATGCCCAACGTGTTACAGTGCAAAATTCTTTTTAGAAAATAATTATTTTAAATTACTTAAAAAGTTGCGTAAAGTAGAAAAATTAATTTAAAGATTCGTTCACTTTCACGTGGCCGGTACTAGATTTTAAGCGTATAAACTCCCGCTTTCGCATGTGTGCTTATATTCTTAAAATCTCTCTTTTAAAAATTGAATTTTTTTCTAATTGCAAGGATATGATTATGTAGTGTTTATAATCAAAAAATGAATTTTCCTACAATTAAATAATAGTTTCATTCTTTTGAATTTAAATCGGTATCTATGTTTCTAATTTCACAACAAACTTTAAGTTTTAAAACATAAATTATTTAAATAAAAAAATTCTTATTTTAATTATAATTATTAACAACTCGTTAAAGCATCATTGATATGATGGTCCTCACATTTCAGAATCGTTAGATTTAAGCTAACATATTATAATAATAAAATATACATGATTTATTCATGATCATGTTCATATTCATAAATATTAAATAAATCATGCAAGTACAATAACTAAAATAAAATAAAAGCATAGAGATATGGAACCTGAAAGTAATATAGGGTGATTTGACTATTTGGGAAGGTGACGACCGTCGTGGGCCGGAGAGATTGTCATGACAACATAAAACTTTGTTTTTCTTTCCATTTTTGTTGTTTCTTTAAGTAGAGACTTTCGATCACTTAATACCTGAAATATGAACACATTATCGATATAATATTACAAAAAGACATAAAACGATACTAAAATACATGTGAATTGAGTTAAAAAATACGATATATTTTTTAGTTATTAGGGAAACATTTATAATTACCCAATTTCAAAACACAAAAAAACAATATATATATATATATATATATATATATATATATATATATATATATATATATATATATATATATATATATATATATATATATATATATATATATATATATATATATATATATATATATATATATATATAATTTGAAGGTCAAACACACAGATTTAGAAAGGATTTGACTTCTAGCATGTAGGAGTTTATTAGTCATTAGAATAGTAGTATTAATAAAGGAACACACTAATTTTGGGTTGATTTCCACTTGCCCAAGTTAGAAATTAGCACACCACTAAAATCAGTCCATTGCATACAGCACACCTAGATTGATGGCTTTTTGCAATGTAGTCAATGAGGTTACTTGCATCAACTAAATAGTAATTGAGTTCTTTTTATTTTCAAATTTCTGGTAGGAATTTCAATCAGCTTCAGGATGCGTGAGATATTACAAATGAATCTGAATTCTACCCAAGTATGTCATTTCAAAAACTGTTCACTTTATCAGTAACATCACTTTCATACATACCAATTTTCTTCAAATAAAAAAGAACGTGCCTTGTGAGTTCGTTAGCAAAGGTATTTCTCACATGCTTTTTAAAATTACAAGTTTTATTTTTCGTTTCTTTACCTATAAATAGGATCTCTCCGTGATGCTATTTCAGCAAAACAATTCAAAACAGAAATAAGCAATACAACTCCAAATAAATAAACTTTTATTTTCATTAAACATAATGGATGCAAAACTCAAATCCTCTCTCACATTCCTCACTTTTATTCTTATTGTTTTCTTCTTTGTGTCTTTGTCTCCTAAGGTATCACAAGCTAGGGCATTGCTGAGTCCATTACAAGGCAAAGATAGTGCCATTGGAGAGGTAAAAGGAGTGTTCAGGACATTGAAGGGAGATGGTCCATCCCTTGGAGTTGGACATAGGTTTGTTGGAGAGATGAAGGATTCTGGTCCTAGTCCAGGTGAAGGGCACAAGAAAAACACCAACGACGGACTCTCATAAAGTTCCCATATTTTTTTTCTTTTATTTGCATACACTATAAATTTAGTTACCATTTGTAACTATAATACATATGTTGTAATAAATAAAAATTAAAGAAAATTAATTTCTTTTTAATTGGCAAAAATCTATAAAAGGGAATATAATAGATATTTCGTCCAACGGAACAAACTGAAAGTCGTTACATTCTAAAATATATGAGAGGTAGAACATTTTAAATCGAAAAATTATAACAATATGCGGTTTTACAAAAGAAAATCATCTACATCCATGCCCTAAAATTAGACCAAACCACGTCTTTCTCCTTCAAAATCTGACATAATCCAATCCCGCCACCATATTGAATCCTTGCTTTGCTACCCGCTTTTGTCTCCAATTTGCACTTTTGTCCCATATCTACTTCTTAGGAAATTAGACCAATCCACGTCTTTCTCCTTCAAAATCCTCCATTTTCAATTATTCAATAATGCCAAATTCAACACCTCCACATCTTTAACACCGAGACCTCCATGTTCCAAGGGCATACAAACTGTTTTCCAATTCACTCAATGTATCATCCTTTTAACTTCACAACCTTTCCTTAAAAAAATATTTTGAATTCGGAAAATCTCAAGTAACACTTTAGAAGGTGCTTTATAGAAAGATAACGACTAAATTAAAATGGTGTTTAATACCGAGTTAATCAACACCACACGCCCACAAAATTTAGATGTATACCTTTCCAAACCTCCAATCTTCTCTTTACACGGTTGATTAAGTCTCTCCACATAGCACTCTTTCTAGGGTTGTTCTCAACTTTAACTTCAAAAAAATTAAAAGGCAAATTATCAAATTGGAATATGTGCTCTAGTGATTTTCAGACTATCATTAGATGGATTGATAGAGGAAAAGTGCAGAAGCTGAAGAAACAAGTATGTGCTATTGCGCTTATGGCGTTGGTTTATCATATTTGGCGGGTAAGGAATGATATCCTTTGGAGTCAAAAGCAGTGGAAGTCTAAGATTGGAATTTGGATTGAAATAGTACATCCAAAGGCTATAACGAAGGAATCTGGATATTACGAGAGGAGTTTTACAAAAAAAAAAAAAACTTTATTAGGGGCTAAAAATAAATCTTGCTATTAAAGGGGTATTGTATATTTAACCCTTTTTTAATAGTGTATAGTGAAAAATAACACTAAATTATCCTCTCGGTTTTGGAATAAAATTGAGAAGTTAGATTAATTTTTTTTTTACAAAAATGGTTACATTATTTATCCAACATATTAAAAATACATTGTATGCAATAAATCTTTGCAAAATATCAAGATTGTTTATCCATAATATTTAAAATATAGTATGTCTAGGTCCTATACAAGATGCAAGAGATTTGTTTCCCCATAAGAATTGTTATTTTTCGTTAATATCCATCTTCTGATAATATATGCTCCTATCTATGTTTAACCTTTCAAAGATTGAGCTCTCTTCTTTATTTAACTTGAAGAAAAAATGATTTTCTGCACTTGCAATATATCAAATGAGCAAAAATACAACAACAACATTTCTCTGAAGGAAATACAATACCATTTTGTGAGTTAGATTACAAGGGCAAAAAAATATTTTGATCTAGATAAAAGAACATTGGAGATTTTTTTGTCTTGCAATATATCATAAATAATGATGCGGGTTTGGGGAAGCTTCATATTAGCACAAATTATAGTAAAATCTAACGATTACTTTTATAGTAAAGTCTAACTACTATACCCCTCAATTTATTTATAAAACTGAGGTAACATTATTATTATTCATTTTTAACTATCACCTCGGTTAAGGTTAAAAACTGATGTGATAGTTATTATTATAACTTTTTTAATATTAAAATAAATTATTTACAATAAATCTCTTCAATGGTTTTTCTACACTTGCAATCCATCATAAAGATGTTGATGCTTGAATGTCAGAACTTTGCATTCAAGATTGATTGTTGATGCTATCATTATCACTGTCTTCACTAGCGTATACAATGTACATGCTTTGAATGCATCCAACTTTTAATGAGGTGTTTGTTTCGAAAATTGGAAAATGTTTTTTCTACACTTGCAATCTATTAGTAAAGACTTTTAGAAATAAATCATAGTTGTTCTAAACCTCCAACAACAACAACAACAACATCATCAACACTATTGTTTAAGATGGATTGCAAAAGCTGAGAAATGTTTTGTTCAAGGTAGAAGAATATTTTCAGTTTTGTAATCCATCCCTAAAAAATAATGCATTCGACGGTGTAGTGGCGACAAATAAGATATCGTCAGGGTTAAATTTGTTAAAAGTGCAGTAGCTGGGATTTGAAGCATGTCTGAAATGGTATATCACCTTGGTTTTTAAAATAATTGAGGGAACAAGTTGGTTTTTTAAAAAATAAAAAATAAATTATGACGTGTCTTGAAATAAAACCTCTTTTTTTTTGGATGACGTGAAAGTTTCGTCATGACAAGTGTTATTTGTTGTGGTGATGTTATATGTTTCATCAATAATTATTGATATTCATAATTCTTTTATAATGGATGTTTATTAGGTTTCACACGAATCACTAATGGAAATGTCTTGAGCGTTGATACTCGTGAAATGACGAGACATATTAGTTAAAGGATGTTGATCAATGTCCTCAATTATCACGGCAAAATTTTACCCTCAGTTTTTGATAAAAATTGAGGTAAAAGGTGTATAAGTATTTTTTTTTTAAATTACATTTTTTACACGGAATATTAAATTACATTATTACAACAAATACAATGTTATCATGTTAGTTGTTGTTCTTGGAGAACAACACATCTTTGCTGTATGCTGTTCGAACTTACCCAAAATTCTGAAATGTCCTTACCAGCTCTGCTAATTAACACAGAAGAAACAATCATGTTACAGAAATCAACAGGCAAGACAAGAAAATCGGAAACGTCAATAAACCTTAAAAGGAACGACAAAAGAAGAACAAACTCAAATGCTGATACTCAAAAGTATGAGAATGGAATTGAAAGAGAGAAAAATACTCTGAGCTCAAATGAGAAAGAGAGAAAGTTTTATCAAGAAGGTCAATAGATAGGTCACCAAGTAAAATGAAAACCCTTCGAAGACCCACTAAACATCCTAGAATGATTTGAGACCACACGGTCATACCCCACTACCAACAGTTGAGATCTTTTTACAACAATTTTGTTGACACTATTACCCATAGGGAAATCATGTGGATGACCAACAAGAGTATGTGGCATGTGTCAATCAGTATCCATCTCCTTGATATGCAAGTTAGATATTGCAAAGCCCTTACCCTTTACAACAAGAATAATAGTTCTGAGGCAATTGTTTTGGGCCGTTCGCTAGAGGTATAGTAGAACTCAAAGCCAAACATCAAGAGAGTGTAAAGCATAGTAAAGCATTAAAAGAGTTTCTTATTTCATTTCGTGTGAAACCACCTAGAAATCTAATAAACACGGTTAGTTTCATCCTACGATCTTCTACATTCCATGCCCCTTTTTTAGTATTTCAGTCACCAACTTCACTATAAAAGCGAGATTAGTGCTCAAATCTCAAGTACACTCATTTCCATTTGAAATTTCACTATTCTCTTCTTACACTACTTTGTGCATCGGAGTGTTAGTCTTGCAAATTAGCTTAATATACCGTATCAGAATCACACCTTCATTGTGACGCAACACTCAATTAACTTATCTGATCTATATCTTGTTCTTGTGCAGAAGAGAAACTAATATGCATAATGCGTGTAACTCTAAATTGATACATTTTTAGAAAATACAAATTAGATTTAAATCACATATATTTTGTGAAAATAAAGTATCTAACAAAACACATTATTTGATACTCCCTTCGGTCTCAAAAATAAGCATAAAAAAAAATTATATGGCCTTAAATATAAGCAAAAATCACTTATAATTATTACATTCAATGTAATTGTTCTATATATAATCCTACTTTCCACTTTCTATTTTTTAACGATTTTCAAAATAAAAAATAAGAATAAAATTAAAAAAAGTGTAAGACTTAAATACATTTACATACTTTTTTTAAATGGATGAGTTTTTTTTAAAGTTACTTATAGGAGACCGGAGGAAGTATTAATTAACAAATAATAAAACAAATATATAAAATATCTAGCAAATAAATGTGGAGAATATGTAATTTATATAGTATTAAACAAATTTAATTGATCATCTTTCAAATTAATTATCTATCCTCATTATTAAGAGGATTGCAATTTATTGAACTCTGATAATAAAGAGGGTAAGACTTTTTATGAAGATGATGAATATATGATAGTTAATGTTGCAAATTGCCTACTATGTGCTATTTTGCAATAGTGTATATAAGGTAGTAAAGTTACTTTTGAATTAAATTTATTTATATGAAACTAAACCCTGCCACTCTTTCTTATTTAAGAAAGTGGCCAACTATTATGAGTGTCCCCAGATTAATTAAACACCATTAATTCGAAAGTCCTACTCATATTTAGAATTGTTTTAGTAACAGTATCCTATTAAAAAGTTAATAAGTAATATAAATAATTAAAAATAAAAATTATAATCACAATAAATTAAATAATTAAATGATTCTAGTATTAAATAATTAAATGATAGGTACATATCACACTTAGTGTTAGAATACCTAAGTATTAATCTACATTTTTAAAGTCGAAACAAACACTAATTTAGAAATTATTTGACTTTTTAACATGTACGAGTTCTTCCCTCAATAGAGGAATATAATAATTTGGATAGATTTCCACTTTTCAAGTTAGAAATTGGCACAGCACTAACTAAAGGCATTGATTATGACGAGTGAGTCCATTGCACATAGCACCCCCTAGATTTATGGCTTTTTGTTACTTGCATTAACTATTTTATGACTACTCTTTTCCTCCCTCGTGGATACCTTGGATTGTCACTATCTTGCGTCTTCATTGCCTAGGCCTCCAAATTTTAAAACCATAATAAAGTTTACGTGTCTAACGAT